ATTAAAAATAAATAAATAACAAGATCAAGTAGTAGGGAAGCAGTGAGCTCCCAGCTTAGGACCAGCGTCTGAGGAATACCACTTTTGAGGGCTTTGTGTGAATAGAGTGATGGACAAAGGGAAGATGGATGAAGGAGCACCCACAGCAGGCTGTCTCGTGGGATGCAGGGAGGCCTGGCAGGCGGTGGGGAAGGGACGGGGCAGAGGGGGACAGTAGGAAAGCCCCGGCCAGGGCATTCACATGGACCTTCTGCACCTGGTAGGTGACAGGGAAGCCGGTGCTTCAGGAAGATGCTGGACGGTGGATGGGAGCAGTGTGTGGGGTGTGAGCTAGAGTCCTACTTCCCCCTTCAGAAATAAGTTAAAATGACATTAATTCAACAGCCCTTGATGGGCTCATCCCTATTAACTCCTGCCTTTGGCTCAAGCTACTTCTTCTGTGTACTGTCAACCTCGTGCCCCTGAAACAGCCTGTCATCTCGGTCATTATCAAAGACGAGGAGGAGGAATTGTTCTGACGTCCTCAGATGGAAATCTACCCTTGGCTTCTGACCGTGACTGTCCTACAGTGGCTCCAGGCCGCCCTGGCTTGCCTGTCCATCAGGGTAGCAGGAAATCTAACAAAATCTCCCCTAGGAGGACAGGGCTCGGGCGCAGCTGGGGCACCCGCAGTCCTGCATGGGCCTGGGTGGTGTTTCCCCGCTGGGCCACTTCTCCCACTGCAGACACGGACACATACAAGGTCAGGTCCAGGAGTCCCGAGACGGCTACTGTCTCCCTGCTTCTCACTGAGTACCTCCCACCCACCCTGCCCTCTCCTCTAGGCCCGCCTTCTCGTGGGCACTGCCGTACATCCTTTCTGAAATCGCTGCTTATGCCTGGGCAGATCAATGGAACATTTGAGAGCATTCCGGGCCCCTGCAAAGCTAAGCTAACATTCTCAGAATCCATGTGCTGTGGCTGTGGCTGGTGGGGGATGGTTTCGTTATTCATAACCTCTGTCGTGCCTCTTTCAAACTATAACTCTGATTCCTTTTGGAAAATGTGAAAATACAGGCAGGCAAACAGGCAATAAAAGCACCCATCAGCCAGAGGTAAACACACGCTGGCCTGTATATTTCTAGGCTTGCTGTCTATGCGTATACATATCTGGTGTGGTTTTAATAGGACTGTTCAGTGCTGTTTGGTAGCCTGATCTTTTCACATAACTATTGCAAATAGCTTTCCGTGTCATTAAACAGGCTCCCACACCTTCGCCTTTAATGACTGCCCAGTGTGTGCCAGCAGAGGTGTGCCCCAGTCAATTGGTTGTGTTGTTTTTTCTCGTGCCTGTGGTCTACAACTCACATCATTAACTGCTGGAAGAAAGTGCCAAGGTTTCGCCAATTAGAGGCTCTTCATTAAAAATGGAACAGGCATCGAAGCCCTCCAGGGGGTGGGCCACTGTCCTTGCTCTTCTGAAAGGTATCCCCGTTGTAAACTGCAACCTGGTCCATCAGCCAGACAGGCTGTGGGTGTGGAATAGAGGACCACTTGTATTTCCCTATGGCTGTCTCTGGAGAAGGCGGAGCTGCTTAAAAAAAAAAAAAGGCAGAAGCAAATGTTTTGTAATTGTTTTCGAGCGCGCATGGGCTCAGTGGCAGGAATGAGACGGAAGCCTTGATTTGTAACCGCCTGCTGCACTGTTTTAAATGCCTCCCCGAGAGGCAAGGGGGAAGCCAGTCTGAAGTACTCCGATGCTGAAATTTGCATCCTCTCTTAGCTGGTTATTGTCCCAAAGGACATTTCACATCAAATTGTACTTGTTTATAAAGATCTTCCACCCAACACAGACCACTTCTCAAGACACTGCTGATATGGAAGCTAAAGATATGCAAAGAGAGAATGAGAACCACTGTGCGTCCCTGGGTAGAAATATAAGCAGATTTAACGGCAGCCGCTGGCAGCTGGAAACCCTCCATGGACGATCATGTTCAGAGCTCAGGGAGGCAAGTAACAGGAAAGCCAGCAGTAACTGGTACTCATTAAGGAAATGCATTTGTTCGAGCTTTTCGGGAGAACCGAGAGCGGGCTGCCCTGCGCTGGGCACCAAGAAGCAGAGGTAAATAGCCCCTCATTGACACACTCAGGGAGCTAACGGTCTAAGAACATTTGAAACACGGTACCATCGGCGCTGTGCCCAGGCACTCATGTACAGGGCACATGACAACACAGCGTCGTGACCCTCTGCTGGTGGCACTAGGGTGACAGGACCCAAGAGGCAGAGGACGTAGAGATAGAACTGTGTCCGCCTTCCTGGGACACACAGGCACGGGGGCATGAGCTGCCAGGATGCATCTGAGCACCTGATCAGATAGAGGTGAAGCAAAGGATGGATCCTCAGGAAATGAGACCGGTGAGGCCCGCAGGGGCTGGTCTCTCGGCGTCCCGCGTCCTGGGGACAGGGACCAGGCTCTCTCCAGCAGGCACATGTCATCTGATTCCCACAGGAAAGGCTCTTTCCAGCTGGTATGGAGCTTGTGAGATTGGAGCAGAGGACAAATTAGGAGACTGTCATTACCATTCAGGCAAGAAATGACTTAGGTGTCCACAAAGCACAGTGACCATGGAAAGGAAGGAAGAAACAGTGATTATAGGTGATGCAGTCCACAGGGCTGGTGGCCCACTGAAGGGTGGGGGGAGGTAGGACAGAGAAATGGCAAAGGACAAGACCCCCAGGAAGCAGAAGAGGACTGCACCTGGGGCAAGGTGACCGAGAGGGCCTCCCCTCCCTGGAGGGTGGAGAAGGTGAGAACAATCGCTGCAGGAGGTCGCCGAGAGGGGGAGAGGAGCCGCAGCACCGCTGGAGGATGGCGGTGACGGCCGCGGTGCTGCTGTGGGCGGGATGAGGAGCTGCCCTTCAGCACTGGACGATGTGAACCGAAAGCCCCCGAGGCCCACCTGAGACCGGAGGCCAGTCCACGAGTGGTGTTTTCCCAGCAGCACTCAGCGGCCAAAGGGGAGGAGAGGGTGGATGACACATGGGTTCCAGGTTGGATTTGGCTGTCTGGCACGGGGATAGATAGCCATGTCCCCTGTTCAAGGGAACCTAGGATGCCAAGATGACAGTGTCTGGAGTGCTGCCCAGGGAAGGAACGAAGGCAGGAAGAGCTGAGAGAATGAGGGGTCAAGGACTCAAGTCTCAATAGAGCAGAGATGAGAAGGGCACCAACAGGCGTGCGTGACAACAGGGACCAGAGGCTGTGGTCTGCAGGTGGCATGCTGAGGCGTCAGCCTCCAGAGGGGAAGCAAACACATGGATGGCCATGCCCAGGAGCTGACCCGGGAGCAGGTCACTGCAGTGGGCTGGTGTTTTGGCCGTGCCCACAAAGGACAAGGGCCAGCAGGATGGAGGAGGGGCTGTGTGACTGTCCTCCCACATTCCAGCTGTGGAGGACTGTTTCCCACCAGTGTCTCGGGCCCCGAGGCCCAGCAGCCTGGTCAGCAGCCTGCGCCTGAGCTACGGTTGAGGGGTTTAGTTCTCCCAGGTGTGGATGGCCCCGAGGAAACTGCCATCCTGGGAGCGGCCTTAGTGCCTGGAGGAGGGGGCAGTCTTGGGTTCCAGTTGGTGGGCCTGGAGGCAGCAGAAGGTGCCCACCTCTGGGGGAGACCCCTGTCTCCCAAGGGAGCTATAGGCCCAGGAGGCCAGTGGGAAATCCAGGTACAGCTAAAATCCATTCTGTTCAGCAGAGCCTAGTTGAAACAAAGGCCATCCCACAGTCAGGCATGGCGGTGTGTTCACTATGTGTCCAGCCCTGGGGACACCCCAATGCCAGTCTTCTTCAGTGCTAGAGGGCTGGAAGGAGTCCTCCAATGGGAGCAAGGCAAGCCCTGCCTCACCCTGTCCGCTTGTCACCGAAGCTGAGCAGGTTTCAGAAGAGGTACATGGTGGCTGAGAAAGAACCTGACAGTCTAAGGGACGCTCCTTAGAACCGTCTCTGCCAGGCCCTCAACTGCCACGTGTGACAAAGAGCCCAGGTAATTAGTACCTCAGCACTGTCATCTGAACCACATCACCTCCCACAGTAGCACCAGGCAGTTACAAATTACTCCTAAGTCTTACACTCTGCTACAGACTCAGGAAGTCTCCTAGCCATGTCCATCATTCAGTAACCGGTGGGCCCGGTGTTCTCCTTGTTTTGCCATATCTCATTTTACATGTATTTATTTGATTTCAGAGAGAGAGAGAGATACAATCAATGATGGGAGAGAATCATTGATCGGCTGCCTCTTGCACGCCCCCTATTGGGAATGAGCCCACAATCCGGGCATGTGCCCTGACCTGGAATGGAACTCTGATCTCCTGGTTCATAAGTCCAGGCTCAACCGCTGAGCCACGCCAGCCGGGCCTTTTTTATTTATTTTTTCCTACCTCAGTTTATACTCCCGTAGCCTGGGCACAGATCTGAACTTACATCCTTTCTCTGCGGCTATCCTTCCTCTTCAGGGAGCCCACTGTCCCCCTGGGGTGTCCGAAGTCCCCTAAACAACAGCCAGGGTGTGGCGGGTCCCGTGGCAGGGTGTGGGGGTCGGGTGTCCGGGCCTGCCCACCCGGTGACCACTCTCGGCCTCCCCGCAGGTGCGCGCAGGCGCTGCTGGAGCATGGCGCC